ATATTTGTAGGTAGTGACAATATCAAGGGGTTTGTTTAAAAAAGTGAGTTGATTTGTTATTGAACTGTCTCCTGAGTGAGGAAAAATACAGTTTTTTAACATTAATTGACAAAAGATTATCTTGAAGCCAACCATGAAATGTCTGAAGATCTGCTTGTAACTGACTATTAATAGATTCAATATTGAAATCAGACAAAAAAGAACAGTATCATCAGCATACATTAAAATATTTGAATACTTCAATATTTTTGGATGATCAACGATCATGAGATCACGAAGAAACAAAGTTGAAATGTCTCTGACGTCATCATTTCTTCTGTCATTAAATCTTCAGTAATTACAAACAGACAAGGGGAGCTGCTGCTACACTACACACTGTTAATTCAAACAACAGAAACACAGTCTGCAGCTAGAAAAAAAACCAATTAAAAAACTAAAAATGAGGTGACGTGGAATGAAATGACATGGTGTAAAAGCTGACAGTTTAGTGCTGGTTTAAACTGCTATGAAATGTTTAGACTAAAATATGTATAAGACTTAAGGCTTGAACTATAAAGGATTTATAAGACATTTGGTTTGTTGTGAAAATCTTAATTTAAACAGGTGATCACACAATAAAAAGGCATTTTGTAGAATGGTTGTCTGAGTTTTATTGCAGCGGCAAGGCACAAACATTCTGAAAACAGTCCTGCGCCAAACTAGTTGTGCAAAGAATCAAAGTTTGAAACCACTTTTTATACTTGATCTCTGTATGTTTACATAAACTGACAAAAAGAGAACGTTCTGACAAATTGTCCCTGTAGGGGTGACCATCTACCCCCCATACCTTATCCTGATGGTAAAACACATTTTTTAGAGAGCAGAAGATACGTAATGTATCATTCAATGGCATCATACAAACTGGGTGACATTTGGGTCAGTAACACAGGTCAGTGGAGCATGTGAAAAGGAAGATAAGTTATTTTTCCATTACAGGTTTAACTAAGTAATTTTCACCACTGCTGTTTCTGTGTTTTGATAAGATCTAAACCYTGACTGAAACTCCTCTAACTAATATTAGATTTAGCATTAATTAATAGTTCTGACTGATAAACTGCAGCTGCTCCTCCACCTCGACCTGATGTTGTAGGAACATGAAAATTTAAATACAGTAATTAACAGGAGTGGATTCATTTATACTAACAAAATCGTCCTGTTGTAACCAGGTTTCAATAAGACAGAATAAATCAATATGATGATCAGTTATCAGATCATTAACTAACAGAGACTTAGAAGAAAGAGATCTGAAGTTTAATAAGTCACACCTAATAGTTTTATTGTTTTGTTCTGGTAAAGTAACTGTATTTATTTTTATAAGAATTTTATGATAATTTTTTCTTTGTTTTTATATATATTTAATTTGTTCTGTGGGTGGGCTGACAGTTTTAATCTAGACATCATCATTAGTTATAATTCATTTGAGTCTTTGTCCCTCAGTCTTTCTCATCCAAAATGGAAATCAGAAAAACCACATTTACTTGTTATTTTATCGTCCTCCAGGCCGTTATTCTCAGTTTTTATCAGAGTTCTCAGATTTTCTGACTGATTTATTATTAAAAACTGATAAAATTATAATAATGGGGGATTTCAATATTCATGTAGATGATGAAAGTGATAGCTTAAATATAGATTTTAGTCATTTGATAGAGTCAACTGGTTTTACTTAAAATGTCCATAATTCTACTCACTCTCTTCATCACACTCTTGATCTGGTTCTGATGTTTGGTGTAGAGAGTAAGAACTTAATAATACATCCTCACAATCCTGTTCTCTCTAACCATTTTTTAATAATCTTTGAGTTTACATAGCTAACTTTATAGCTACTGAGAGTAAATTTCATTATAGCAGATGTTTATCAGAGAATGCTGTAGCTAAATTTAAAGAATCTCTTCCATCTTTATTTTCCTCTGTCTTACAGAATAATGCAACAGGGAACAGTAACTAATAATATTACATCTTTAATGCAAACCTAACTTGATGAAATTGCTCCACTAAAAAAGAAAGTTATCGATCGGAGGAAGCCGACTCCTTGGTTTAATTCAGAGTTACGTTGTTTAAAACAGGCATCTMGAAAACTGGAGAGAAAATGGTGCTCCACTAGCCTGGCCCGTGCCTTCCTACGCAGCTCCGCTCTATTCTAGTTTCCCTTCACTGCTCCGTCTGGGACTTCTCCCACAGACAAGGATTTCTTCGGGAGCATTTCATTCGGGCCAGTCAGAGAACAGAACATTGATTTTCTGCGCAGTGTCTGCTTGTAGTTTATTTTACCTGGGCCAATCAGCAAACAGAAGGCAAAGTTTTGAACAACGTCAATTTTTGGCGCAGTGTCTGCTAGTTATTTTAGCACACGGCAGTGGAGGAAGTGAATGAAGCCAGTCTGTTGATAAGGCTTCTAAATTAAATTAAATTTRTCTGACAAAGCAGCAGCTCTCATTTACAGTCGTCTCGTTCGGCTCAGTACTTCTCTCCTCTTAGTAAGGTTGTTTACAGCACACACRATTTCCTGTTAGCTTCTTAGCTTAGCCTCCTTCACAGCCAACTGATACAATCATTTTAAACTTCAGCAGAGGCCACGCCTCCAGCAAGAATCGCTTCTCTATAGCCGAGAATCCAGACCCTCGTACGAAGCAAAGTGAAGGACAAGGATCTGGTTTTTACCAGGCTAGCGCTGCACTAACAGACAAATTTTGTTTAACCTGGAGAGACAGCCTGCTAACATATAAGAAAGCCCTTCATAAAGCTAGAACTGTATATTATTCATCTTTAATAGAAGAGAATTAAAAACAATCCCAGGTTTCTGTTCAGTACTGTAGCTAAACTAATGAAAAGTCCTATCTCTGTTGAGCCATGTGTCCCTATTACTCTAAGTAGTGATGACTTCATGAGATTCTTTATAGATAAAATAATTTTAAYAAGGAAGAAAATTCATGCTAAACTTCCTGCTACTGTCTCTGATTCTCCATCAGATGAGGCAGCTTTAGTGTCACTAGAACCTGATTTATATCTGGACAGTTTTTGTCCTGTTGAGCTCTGAATTATCTAAAATAATAGCTTCATCCAAACCATCAACATGTCTGCTAGATCCCATCCCAACCAGACTGTTCAAAGAACATCATTGCAGATGATGGAACAAAAACTTATAAAGTTTAACTAAAAAAAATCAAAAAGTTGAATAAAGAATTATTATTATTATAGTTCCACAATTCAACCAGTATTACAAAGTGTTCCACTGTCTATTCACTGTTTTTTTTTTTTTTTTCATTTTAAAGTGATTAAGTTTCAGAGCTGTCAACCTCTCCCTCCATGCTCTTTTTGCTGCTGTGGACTCTGCTATCTCCACGATCGACAATGTTACCCACCACCCACCAAATAATAATTGTAACGATCAGGGTTGAACCAACCTGTTTTGTTTGTTAAGTCGACCCTGGAGTACCAGCTTCTCAAAGTAGACAAACGCCATGGCAATTGTGACGGGCTGCAGGCCACAATCCTCCCCAACTGTTCTCATCTCTCTCTTCAGGCTGAGACACACACAGTGCTCATTTTTATACAACAGCTATGCAACAATGTATGTGTTTGAATGATCAACTTCAGAGTGTACCTGCGAATTTTACTGAGGGTGAGTTTAATATGGGGAAACTTCTCCTTAAACGTCTCGTTCATGTCTTTCTTCAGGTCAGATGGTTTGACGTACTCAATTACTGTCGTCTGCAGGAAGAAAGAAAAAAAGCAGGAAGAAAACATGTAATAGGCAGCTGAAAATGATCTGAACTTAGTGCTTTGTCAAGTCCTTACAGACTCCAAAGTGCTTCACGCTACAGTCATTTAATCATTTAATGATTTATTCCAAACATGTCAAATCATTGAATCTATATAACTCAATACACCCTTTCCCATATCTAAAAAAAAAGAATAAATAAAACCACTTGGACTATTTACACACAAATAAATAAACCCAAAATAATAAACACCTGATGTGCACACGTGCCCTAATACCTGCACTCAGATAAAGCACATAAATCCCATTGACATGTCTAAAAAGGGGTAGGAAGAAGTAAAACAGTCATTCACGCACCGATGGTGGTAAGCTACATTGTAGCCACAGCTGCCCTGAGGCATGCTGAGAGAGGTATTTACATTTTGGCATCTCCAGTCACGTACACTTTTACCARTTAACTCCACACAAACATTTGCTTAAGTTTCACCTTATTTTCTCTGAATACTAATGCTTTCCTCCTCAGTCAATAAATATTCAATAGTTAAACTTCTTGAGTGCAACTGTTTATTGATGTGCAAATCTGTGCTGAAAGTGCTTTAACAAAGTGCTATCAAAGTTCTTTAAGTAAAAAATGAATGAAGACCTTCATTAAAATACTGTTTGTCAGATGCTGTCTCAGTACGACATTTTTAAGGAAACTGGTCACATCTTGACATAGTTGGTGCCAGACAGGCTGGTCTGAGTATTTCAGAAACTGTTGATCTACAAGGATTTTCACACACTWCCTGAAGGGTTTATAGTAAAATTTAAAGGGGACCTATTATGCAAAATTCACATATAAAGGTTTTTTTTACTCAACTTTGGGTATGTACTTCTTAAAAAAACAGTCCTAGGACCAAAAAATTTTACCCAGGGGCATATTTACTGTAAGTAAATGTATTTTTAATGTATATTAACGACAAGTTTTATACTTCCGTCATTTTGTGATGTCACAAGCCGTACGACAACCCACCAGAACCTGTGTTCAGCCCCTCACCCGGGTGAAGCCCCACCCCCTCAGTATAAACAACGGTTGTTGTTGTGCAATGTGCAGCTCACTTCACAACAAGCCTCCAATGGGGCAATGGGTTGAGTGTTGGACCAGAGAGCAGCATGGACAAAATTTAATTATTTATTTTTGTTCGTTATGAACACGTTTTCACATGTACCTCTATTG